CAATTCACATGGTTTAAATGAAATGAATTTTATCATATACACAGGAAAAGGATTTTGCTAATGTCTTGAATAGTATGTGTTTGTGCGTGCGTGTGTGTGTACCTACATAATCTTTTCTTCTACTGGATTACTTTTAAATTGTTAAACAGTTGGACCATAAAATCTCAAGAATGTAAATTCACCTGAAGAAAACATCTGAGACATAATTTTGCTCAAGGTCCTGAATTGCTGTGTTAAAAGAATTGATATTAAGTCTTAACATGACATTTTAGGCTATAAAAATGTGATGTAAAAATAACTTAAAATGCTCTGTTTTAAAACATTGATTTTTTTTACAACTTTATAGGCTATTGTAAATCAATATATTAGATATGCTTCTTTATGAAATATATAATCTAATATATCCAACATGGCTATGTTATATTAGAACATAGTTCTACATTTTGTATTTCATTGACTATTAAGGTCATAATGTAGTGGAACAAATCTGCTAATTATAAAATTTTTCTTGGACTAGCTTGTTAGCTCAGTTGGTTAAGGATTCGGATCCCCATATAAGCCAGATGCAAAAATAAATAAGACAAAACAAAATAAAATAAATTCTTATTTATTTCTAAGAAAAAGTGAAGTACAAAATAAATGGGAAGTTTTGTTCTTTCTGCCATCAAAACTGCCTATGTATTTTAAAATCCATGGTTCTATTAGGTAATTCCATTTGAAAGTTGGTCTAGAACACTTACTTTAGCGAAAGAAAGTGTTGTGTACCTAGGCACTCTCTTTTCCTGAAGCTCTATTGTGTGCAGCAGTCTTTGGAGTTACCACTGACCCAACAGGAACAGGCTGCTTTTCAGCTACTCTAGTGGATGCAATGGTTTTTCTCAGTATTCATCTACAGGTATATGCTGCTCTGCTGGACAAGTCAGACTCTGCCACTTTTCAATGCTATTCTGCTAGATGTTATAGCATTTGTCTTGCACTTTCAGACCCAAAGACTTTGGATAGTGTGATGGCTTTATTTCTTTTTGTGTTATACGTAGAATTCCCAAAGCAGTGTATGTATACCCAATGTGTTACAGAGATTGGTGAGATAGCTCTTTCAATTTTTATTTATAGCCTTGTTCTATCAGGGACCTGACAAGGGGTTGGGCTTAGGAATTGTATATCAAATAGAATCCCTACTTGTAATAATAATAATGATATTAATAATAATAATATCTTACTTTGACATAGTGCTTTATAGGACTGTATCACTCATCACTTATAGTGTTAAAGCTGAATGTCCATAGTGAAGAGGGGAGAATACCTCTCTGCTCTTTGTGTTATAATTCATTAGAAGGGATCAACAGATCGATAATCCAAGCACGTTGAGACCATTTACAGTGCTGGAAATATTCCAGGAGAAAATAAGGATTAATCCTTTTTATTTAACGTAAGTTTTCCCAGGCTTCGTTGGGTTGCAGGTACTAAAGAGAGTCACAGTAATGTTAATAACTCAAATATCAGTGTTTCTTTTCTCCACCTATCAGTGTGGAGGTCTTCCAGTCTTCTACAAAGTTTCTATTCCCAGGTATTTCTAGAAGTCCTAGAGGACTCAGACATGTTTCTGAAGGAGTTATATTTCCACTGAGTACAGCTGCTTCTCCACCAGGCACTTCAGGCTCTTGCCAGCTGGTGCTCTCTGCTGGGCATTTCCACCGATGTTCTCGCTCACAGCTAAAGTTGCCTGATGAGTTGAGGTGAAGGGATGTGTCGGAGAAGAAAGAATGTCCTTCTTTCTTTGTGTTATACTCTATTAGAAGTGTTCAAAATTAGTGATGATTTTTACCAGTGTTTTAATGAGGCAATTCTTTTAGATTTTTATCATAGCCTCTGCACTCCACAGGATACAGGCATAAATCCAGTGGGGATTGTCTGTGTTAGGAGGCAAATTTAGTCAACAGAAAACACTCGGCATTTAGCATTGCCAGTCTTTTGACACTAAGGTTTTCTCACTGGGTGAGGTCATCATGATTAGCTGTTTTCCATAGGATTAGTTTTCACATTTTCTTTCTGGGTGGCTTGCTCTGTTAGTTCACCAGACATTCCAAAACACGTCTGAATCCTACTTGGACATAGCTAGTGATTCCCTGTTTCTCTACCCTCAGCTCCAACATCCTTCACTACCTCAAGCAAGAAACAAACAAGGATTTACTAAAATCAAAGCAGGAGAAATCTTTAGAAAAACTATAATTAAGTTTCTCTATGAGATTGCATCTATGAAAAAAAAATTTAGAAGGATACTATTTCACTTGCAAACATTGCAGTTCTGTCAGAGATTGTGTTAATCCCTGTATTAGTCAGGGTTCTCCAGAGAAACAGAATTATAGGAAATATATATATATATATACTATTGGTTCATATATATAACCTATCATGTATACATACACACATATATATTCATATTGTCATAGAATATATAAAGAACATATATATATATCTCCTGTCATGTATGTATATTCTACCTTTTTTTCATATATATATGACCTATTGGTTCATATATATAACCTATCATATATACATACACACATATATATTCATATTGTATGAACATATATATATATCTCCTGTCATGTATGTATATTCTACCTTTTTTTCATATATATATGAGCTATATTGAGAGGGAATTGACTCCTGTGATGTGTGATTATGGAAGCTGTGGATTCCCCAATATGTGGTTTGCAAGCTGGAAAAGCAGGAAAGCCAGTGGAGTAGCTCAGTCCAAGTCCAAAGGCCTGAGAACCAGGGGATCCAATGGTATAACTCTTAGTTCAAGGAGAACTTGGGGTGTTGCTGGTGCAAGTCCCATAATTCAAAGGTTGGAGAACATGGAGTTCTGTTCTGATGTCCAAGGGCAAGAGAAGATGGGTGTCCCAGCTCCAGGAGAGAGAGAATTCACCTTTCCTCTGCATTTTTGTTCTGTCTGGGCCCTCAACCAATTGTATAGTGCCCACTCATCTTGAGTGAGGATGGATCTTCCTGACTCAGTTCACTGATCAAATGCCAGTCTCTTCCACAGACACCCTCACAAGCATACCCTGAAATAATGCTTTACTAGCTAAGTGGGTATCCCTTAATCTAATCAATTTGACACTTAAGAATAACCATAAGAGTTCCTAGTTAATTCTTTCAGGATAGATGGATGTGGAAGGGAAAGTTTAATTTTAGTGTGTTTATATTTTATAATATCTGAGGGCTTGTTGTTGGTGGTAAGTTCAAGGAAGTAAAAGTTTTTACGTGGTAAGGAATTTAAGTGCTGTGCCAGTTTCTTTTTGGATTTTGTTGTGGCATCCCAGAGCTTTCCGGAGTATTGCTCTCTAACTAGAAAGTTCTTAGGAGCCAGTGACAGTACTTCCAATTTATTACTAACTGCCCATGCTAAGAATAAAGTGGGAGTTCACATTCTCCTCAGCACTTCAGTGATGGTACTGGTGCAGATCTCCAAAGGTACTAGTGGTTTTGAGAATTGCTCCCTACTCAGTACTGAATAGTCCGTCCTTATCTTCAGTTTCTGTCTTTCTGGGGATGTTAGTAGGGTTTAACTGAGGCTCTTTACACATGTAGTGAAGTCTTTTCTGATTTGAGTTCCTGCTGTGCTATATTTTCTAGAAATTCCTTAAAGTTTCTAGCAAGTAAATGATACCTTCTAGTTTCTAGCACTGATAATTTGTGTCTATTTTATGCACTTTGTTTGAAATTTTGGGTGTGCGGTGGGGCAGGTATGGGTTTGATCCACCATTTTGACTGAAATTATGATTTTTATCACTAATATTGCTACTTATTGCATTAATATTGCTTACAGTGGTAATTGAGAGAGGTTGATTCCTCTGCTTTGTTATTAGCCACATAGAACAACTGACACACTATTTTATGCATTTAAACTATAAGTTTATGTTATAGGGATTTTATTCTTTATATATAACTTGTTTTAATAATCCAAGCTTGTTCTAAAACTATATTTTTATAAATGTAAATTGAAAATAAGTGAACTAGAGTTTATTTTCTACCATCAGTTAAAAAATGAGTTTAAAAAAATTCTTAAATGGGCCGGCCCCGTGGCTCACTCGGGAGAGTGCGGCGCTGGTAGCGCTGAGGCCGCGGGTTAGGATCCTATATAGGGATGGCCGGTTCACTCACTGGCTGAGCGTGGTGCAGACCACACCATGCTGAGGGTTGCGATCCCCTTACCGATCAAAAAAAAAAAAGAAAAAAATTCTTAAATGATTGCTCAAGTACGAATATATTAGGCCAAAAGAAGAGAATTCCTGTAAGAGAAGCTACTATTATTGTATTATACTTTATTATTTTAGTTTCTGATGAAGCCAGGTGCTTTAACTTTATATGGCTCACATTTAGTTTTGACATTTATTATAATGGATGTAGAGAAAAGATGATTTTTGATTTCCCATGTCACAAATAATTTCTTTGGCATTAAAGGACTGATCTTGTCCTCAAGCATTAGCAATAAAATGAACTGTGGTAGTGTTTAATTTATTGTTATCTATTTTTTACTCTTTGAAAAATTGAAGTGAATATGTTTTTAAATATCAGATAATTTGAAATTATCAATGTCTCTTGGTGATGTTTGCATTTTGTCAATCTGTTTAATTAAGGTAATTTTTAATAGGCTTTTCCATTCCCTAAATAATACAATCTCCTGTTCCTCTTTTTAAACAATAAGGAGCTAATTTCCATTGCTCTTAAGGTTTTAGATTACTAAGTGTACTGCTAAGAGCAAAGCTATTAATATTGGTTGAAGATATGCTAATATTAAAGGCACTTCTCTGGCTGACTCAGGAGTGGGATGGGGCACAACAGTGACAACTTAGCTTGACATCTATCAAAGAACAATTTAGCATTCTTGACTGAGGCTATCATTGCTTTAGATTTAGATTTAAGTAAAGTTAAACATTGTTTTGTGACTTGTTTAAACCGTGTGCTCATTTTCACTTTTTTTTTTCTAGGATGTTTCCAATGCAACTTTGAAATACAAAGGTATACATTTTGGTAATTCTCTGGGAAGACAAGAGTTACCTAAAAAGTCAGGTCCTGGTCCTGGACAGTATGACATAGAACAGTAAGTAAAAAAATAGTATACTTTTAATGTAGTTCTTGATTATAAAGTATTCTAATAATTCAGACTAGGATATGCTGTTAAGAAAGGAAAAATTCATATGTAAAACTCCAAGAAGTATTACATTTTGGTGTAACCTATATGAAAACTTTTTTATGAGCCAGATCCTGTACCACCTGAAATACTTTACATGTATTAACTCATTTAATCTTCACAAGTCTCTGTGTTGTTAGTATTGTACCCATTTTATCAGTGAAAAAATCCCAGAGTCAAAGAGAATAAATAACATATTCAAGATTATGTGGCTATTAAGTGGCAGAGCTAGGCTTTAACTGAGGCCTGTTTGATTACACAGCCCCTGTATCTGTGTACTAAAATATACTATCCTTAATCATAAAGTGGACAAAAAATCAGAAAAAATACAAAAGAAGGCAACCCAGGATTCTCCATCTTATCCCAGGCTCTTATCTTCATTCTTCTGATTACATGATGGATTCTCAGTAAGTGTTAGTCAGAGCTATGATATTAGGTTGGAAGTAACTGTTATGAAGTTTGTAAATACATTTCTGGTAAAAGAACAAAACAAAAAACACTATTTCTGTCTTTATTTTCTCCTACTCCTGCAGTTGGGCCTTTAGACATGAATGTATGGAAGGCAAAATTGAGTAACAAATACCACATTGTCCTCAGAATTTACTACACCTTTTGTGATTCATTTTTTAACAAAGTCCGGCTTCTCTGCCTGATTCTTTCATAGCATGACCTTTCTCCCAAGAAGTCCCACTGTGATTATACTCAATTAGTTTGCTACACAGATTCAGACATGTCTGTATACTAGCAATGAACATAGCTTAGGCTCTTGCTTGGACTCCCCTGCTGCTGTTTATTCATTGAACAAACATTGTTTGAATTCTTGCTAAGTACTGAACTTAATAAGTGAGAATAAAAAGAATAAAACATAGTCCTTGTTTTCTGAAATTTAGATTCTAGTCTGCTGTCCTTTTCATTTTTCACTTTCCTAATATGGAAGATACACCTTTATATTTTCATTCTTTTAGTAGTTATGCTAGAACTTTAACATGCATATTTAGCTTAATAAAGTCTATAATTTATATCATTATCATTTTTCCAGACAAGAGAAGGTCTATATAACATTCTAACTCTGATCATCCCCTTCTTGACATATGCTTTTGTTGTTCAGTACTTTAGTTCTATCCTTTTCTTCTCCCAGATTGGCTGCTTTGCTTCTCTCTTTCTCATAAGTTTTATTAAGGTTTGTATTAGTCTGTTTCTGTTGCCTATAACTAAATACCTGAAACTGAGTAATTTATAGAATAAATACAGTTTATTTTTCTTACAGTTTTGGAGACTGGGAAGTCTAAGGTCCAGGAGGCATATCTGGTGAGGGCCTTCCTCCTAGTGGGAATTCTCTACAGAGTCCTGTGGCAACACAGGGTATCACATGGCAAGAGAATAGCAAGAGCTCTCTCATGTGCTCCTTATAAAGCCACCAGTCCACATCCATGATAATTCTTTACTCAATGAATGTATTAATTCATTCATGAGGGCACAGTCCTCATGATCCAATCACCCTTCAAGAGCCGCACCTTTCATATCATTGGGTTTCCCACCCTCAACACTGTACAGTGGGGATCAAGTTTCCAACTTCAGGTTTCTAACACATGAACTTTTGGGGGATATATTTTACTTTTAGCAAGGTTTAAATAACATAAATCAGAATTCATCTTTTCAAAGGTATATCAGTGTGTAATGATTGTTTTCCATTCATTGTGCTTACTTCTAAGTACCCCAGGCATAACCAGGACTCTATGTAATCAGTGTTAGCTCTGATTTTACTTGGTAGTTTTTCTTGCTAGTCCTTTTTACTTTCCCAACCTTGACCCAGTCCCATTCCTCCCTATTTTTATGAATTGTTTTCTATGATCTTTATTATTCTTTCTCTTGGTTCTCCTCTTCTTCCATTTGTTTTCACTATTGCTGCAGGAATGCATTCATGTAGACTGAATTCCTGACTGCTTCAGTTATTTCTCCATCTTCATAATTCATTCACTCTTTGGTTTGGCTGATTTCACTGTATCTTTTATTTGCAGTTGTCTTGGTTCCTTCTGGTAGTTGACATTTCATACTGTTTTTTTACTTTTTAAACTTTTTTTTATTGGTTGAGTCAGAATTATTCTAGGAGACTTGATATAATACAAAAGTAGAGCTATTTGGTCACCCTAAATGGAAAGATAAGCTTGTAGGTCTCTTTTTGGGAAAGGTACAGACCTAAATGATATGTGACACTTCTGATTTACCAAATACAAATTTGTTATCTATAAACCCATTTGAAAATTTGAAAACAAGTTTATTTGTTGAATTTTGTGTAAATAAAAATCAGTGAAGAAGTGAGCATTAAATAGTGATCTTGGATGGTAAATGTATATTTAAATTGTAGCACTGCTGAACAAAGAAAATAATGGCAATTATTATGTAACTTGAAGTTTTATGTTTTACTATTTTCTATTTTTTAATTCGTGTTTATGTTCAATATTGTTTGTTAGAAATGTTGGATGTCAGATTTCTTTGCAATTCTGTTTAACAAATAGAAAAAAGATAGTGGTACTGTCAGTATAGCCAATTTAAATGTAAATCTTATAATAATAATAGCTAATAGTTATGTGCTTATTAGGAGCCATGTATGCCACTAAGCACTTCACGTGTATTATCTAGTTTAATCATTGCAACCTTGAGAATTGATTATTACTATTTCTAATTACAGATGAAGAATCTGAAGCTTAGAGCAGTTGGATGATTTGCAAAATGTCACACAGCTAGTTGGTAGCAATGCTGTGATTCCTATCAGGCTGACTGACTCCAAAGCTTGGGCTCATAATAACTGTTTACTTAGTTTGTGATTCTTTCTTGAGGTTGTCTAAATTTCAATGAAAATAAGCTTCCCTTTCATTTTCAATGATCTTTCTTTATGTCTTTTTCCTGATTGTTTTATGATACAGATAGCATAGGGCTATTTCTTCTTTATTTTATTTTACTTATTTTATTGTTTTGGCAGCTGGTTGGTAAGGGGATCTGAACCTTTGACCTTGGTGTTATCAGCACTATGCTTTCCCAAATGAGCTAACCAAGCAGCTTGTTCCCCTTTATTTTAGTAAAGTTAAAATAGCAAAGGATTTGGAATTTTAAAGACTTTTAATGGTAAGTAGAATACAAGGAAACTTTTCTTTGGTAGCTTTTTATTTCAATTCTTGATGTAAAACTACATTCTATTTTCTTTTTGGAGTCATTAGAATAGGTTTATAATAATTCTCTGAATTGGAAAAAGCAGCATAACTAACATAAATGAATACATTTTACAAAATTTTGAATATGTTGGTCTAATATACCTAGATGATCTTATTATCACATACTTTTAGAGCAGAAAATGTTGCTATAAAAATATTCTCTTTGCTTATGTAAACTTTTATACATTTAAAGTTGAGAACTCAATTTCTGTCTGAATTTTCCAAGGGAAAAGAGATTACATTATGAAAATATTAATATCAAGAAAGATCAACAGCAAAATTATTGCTCATTTATCCCACGATTTTATGACATAATAATATTGCAGGAGGAGAAAAAGGTAAGTTGAAAAGTGGCTATTTCATCTATTTTCCATATTTTAAGATCATTGAATTCTGTTGCCACAAAGTTACCCTTAGATCTACTCTGCCTGATAGCTAATTGTCAGTGAATATGGTAGAAGGAACTGTATTTAATATCTCTGTGAAGTGGTCACTGTCTCTGCTTGAATACCTCTTCTCTTATGGAACTCATGACTCCCAAGGTATCTTGTTTCAGTATTAGACAACTCTTTTTCTTAAGATGTCCTTAAAGTGACGCAAATTTACCTGCCTCCTGCCTATTTACTATTCTCCCTTTTCCTATTATTTCTTTTCAGTTCTCGTTTAAGTGTTTTCTAGTAAGGATAAAAGTTCCAAGTACTTTTGACTGTTCTTACTGTTTAACTTCAAATTCACTTACTTTCCTTTGAAGTCATCTAGGGACCTTCTTCAATTTGTAGAAATTTTTTTCTCTTTTTTAATATGGTATCTAGAACCAAGCTTAATATTCTGGGTATTGTCTGACTGTATATAATAAGATTCTTTCTTGTACTAGATAGTATATGCTTATTAACACAAAACCCAGAATTTCATTTTTTTTGTAGCTACATTTCAGTTTACTCATTTGGAAACTGTAGAACTCTGGATTTTTTTCTTCAATATTTTATATTTAACTTAAAATTTGAAGATTATAGAATGAAAATTTAAAAATGCCTGCATTTAGAGTAAGGATAAGTCATTCTCTATTGAAAAATAAATAACTACTTCAGTAAGAATTTTCTCTGCATTTGATTTCCTTGGTCTTCCCCTGAAAATTAATCAGCAATGAAAAATATTTTCTAATATACACATGTTAGAAAAAGATGTGATAACAGAATAATATAATATAATTATTTTTATAGCAATACAATTACAAATCTCAAAGCATGTGAGAAGTACTTATTTAGAATCAGTACAACTAATGAATATAATTATTTTAAAATATACTCAGGAAAAGGTGAAAAAAGCCTTTGGTTTCTCATTAATGTTTTATTCATCAATAGAATTTATTTATAGGTAATATTTTGCTTTACATGTCAGTAAAAATATGCAAAAATTAAAGTAAGAAAGATTATTTTCTTTTTTTTTTTCCTTTTTATCTTTTTTACTGACTGGTAACGGGATCGCAACCCTCAGTGTCGCGCCCGTACCGGGGACTGGCAACGGGATGGCAACCCTCGGTGTTGCGCCCGCACCGTGCTCAGCCAGTGAGCGGGAACCGGTCTCCACATGGGATCCGAACCCTCGGCGGGAGCGCCGCCGTGCTCCCAAGCGGCGCACTCTCCAGTGTGCCACCGGGCCGGCCCAGAAAGGTTATTTTCTAAGGCAATTTTTTTGTGGAAAACATTTTTTAGAAATTTTATTCGTACATTATTTTAAAATCCTCTTTCATAGTGCTATCTTACATTATTTGAAAGGAGGAAGAAGTTTATATTAGATGACTTTTAAATTAATATCAGGGTGCTTATATCATTGCATTGTTTGCTTTGCTATTGAGATTACTACAGTCCAAGATGATTTTTGTTTTAAAACTGTGGGATAGCTAATATAATAACATAAAGAATTATAATTGGTAACAATGGAATAAATTTTATTTATTTAAATATTTGTATCAGTGTGTTTTTAAAAATTCTTTTTCATTAAATATGTTCTCTTTTTATTTATTTATTTATTTTAATTTAATTTTATTTTTATTTGATTATACATATTCATGGGGCACAGAGCTGACCATCAGCACCTGTTTCCAAAATGTGGTGAGTAAGTTAGTGCTATCAGCGTACTCACAACCTCATATTGTAATTATTCCTATGTCCTCCACCCAGCCTCTCTCCAGTGCCCCCTCCCTCCATCCCCAGCCCTGGTAACCATTGGTCTGTTCTCATCCTGTGCAAGTCCAACACATCACTGTGACCTTTCTTTCCTTCCTTCTTTCTCTCTTAGCTCCCATTCATGAGTGAGGACATGCAGTATTTTTCCCTTTGAGCCAAGTTTATTTCACATAACATAATTTTCTACAAGCTCATCCATGTTGCTGCAAATGGCAGAATTTCATTCCTTTTTACAGCTGAGTAGTATTCCATTGTGTTTATATGCCACATTTTCTTATCCAGTCATCTGTCAATGGACATTTAGGTTGGTTTCATATCTTAGATATTATAAATAGAGCTGTGATGAACATGGGAGTGCAGATATCCCTTCAACATAATGATTTCCATTTCTTTGGGTGCATACCTAGAAGTGGGATTGCTGGATCGTATGGTAGTTCTATCTGTTGTTGTTTGAGAAACCTCTATAATGTTTTCCATAATGGCTGTACTAATTTACAGTCCCACCAACAGTGTAGAAGAGTTCCCTATCTCCACATCCTAGCCAGCATTTGTTATTCTCAGTCTTTTTGATAATTGCCAGATTAACTGGGGCGAGATGATATCTCATAGTAGTTTTGATTTGTATTTCCCTGGTGATTAGTGATGTTGAGCATGGGGACTATGTATTGTTGACCATTGTGCCTTTAGTGTTTAGCACAATGCCTAGAATCTGGTAAGGGCTTAATTAGTATTTATTTAATAAATGCCTGAAGGAGCTAAAACATTTCCTGTATTTTGAAACATCAACATTGGTTTATATTTTATAAGATCAAAAGTTTTTTGTTTTTTGTTTTGAGTGGGGGTGGCTGGCCAGTATGGAAATCTGAGCACTTGATCTTGGTGTTATCAGCACCTTGCTCTAACCAACTGAGCTAACTGACTAGCCTGGGACCCAGATTTTTTAAATGTAAAATATTATTTCTGTATTTGTACAAAGATAGTAATATGTTGACATCTTAACTTTTTAGATAGTAATATGTGGACATCTTAACTTTTTAGTTCACTTTCAGGAAAATAATTTTTGAGACTGATAGTCCTTTCTTATCTTCACATGCCTCTACCACTACCATTTTGTTTTCCTCTTGTATCTTTTCCATTTCTAATTATTATAAATTATATGACAAAATATTATCTCAGTATTATGCTATTTTATATCACTGTTATTTGCTATACCTGGAAAAACTCTAAAAGATAATGATTGGTAATTCTAGAAATCTTTGTGTGTTGGAAGAGTGAGTAGAGAAGATGTGAATGTTCCAAAGAGCAGAAGGTTTGACGGCTTCTTGTGTTCTTTCCTAGTGAGATCTAACATGCAGATTAAATTTGACCATATTTAAGGGTAATTTACCTCTAATTATATATATATGCTTTGAAATATATATTTTAAAAAATGTAAAGGGGATGGCCCGTGGCTCACTTGGGAGAGTGTGGTGCTGATAACACCAAGGCCACGGGTTCGGATCTCATATAGGGATGGCCGGTTGGCTCACTGGGTGAGCATGGTGCTGACAACACCAAGTCAAGGGTTAAGATCCCCTTACTGGTCATCTTTAAAAAAAAAAAATGTAAAAATATAAGTTTACCCAGGGGCTTGTGTATCTATTGTATCTGTATGTAATGTGATTCTTTTTCTTTCAAAAATCAACTCTGTGAAAACAAATCTGATAAAATAAGAATCTTGAAGGATCAAAAAGCATTTATAATTAAAGCAGACATTGTGAAATTATTGGTATTTTTTGCGTATTTGGTATAAGATAAAACATAAAAGGTTTTACTCAAAATGAGGATTGGTGCAACTGCTTTTTCTATCAGAGCATTCTGAAACTGAAGAAATAAAATATAAAAAGCTATTTTTCATTTATTTACCTTATAAGTAGTAAAAACCATAAGGATTAAATTGAATGAGATAGTAAAAATATAGGGACTTTATTGTATATGGCATTTCTCAATGCTTTATTGTCATAGCAAATATTTGTTCCTAATATTTAAATATTTTTAATTTAAATTTTGAGGGAAAATAGACTCTTTCATTTTCCAAAGTACAAATATTTCAGCACATATAATGCTAAATGGTAGTTTCCCAGTGACAATTATGACATAGAATTATTAAATTTTTAAATTATTTTGTTATATTCACAACTAAATACTAACACTGACTGTGCATACATGTGTGTGCCTGCTGTGCAGGCAAGTAAGTAGGAAAAGGTAGAGATGACTTATAAGTGTTGGATTTGGATTACTGTGTATTTGGCAGAGATGGTAATCACAGAAGCTGCTTATTATGATGAGCAGATGATGATTTCAGTTCTGGACAATTGGAGAAAAATTACCAAAAGATAGTAGAAATTTCAAAATGGAATTTGTAATACAAATTATGGGTAGAGATACAGATTTGGCAGTCATCCTCATTGTATTATTTCATTTTGTTGCTTATAACAGAATACCTGAAACTGGGTAATGTATGAAGAAATGAAATTTATTTGTTACAGTTTCAGAGGCTGGGAAGTCCAAAGTCCAGGGAACACAGCTGGTGAGGGCCTTCTTGTGGGTGGTGACTCTCTGTAGTGACACAGTATATCACACAGTGAATGGCCTGAGCAGGAAATCTACCTGTTCCCTTGCTCTTCTTGTAAAGCCATTATAACTACACACATGGGTACAGTCATCACAATCTAATCATCCTCTTAACACTGTTACAATAGGGATTAAGTTTCCAATACATGAACTTTTGGGGGAGACATTTAACCCATAGCATTCATGAAGGTGATAATTGAAGTGATGAGGTGCTGTACAAGAAAATATAGACATGAGAAGAAAATTCAACCAGATCTTTGAGGAACACTTAGATTTTGGGAGTGAGGCATGATAGAAGAGCCAGAGGAGAGACAATTATTAAAGTAGGAAGTAAGTTAGGGAATTTATATGCCAAAGAAGGACAGAGATTAAAAAAAGAGAGGATGTAGAAATATATTTATTTTTATAGAAGGATGGTCACAATAAATTATTAAATGAAAAATTAGATTGTAAAATGGTATGCGTAATATGTTTTGTGTAACTATTCATAAATATATGTACATACATTCATAGTAAAATATTTATGTTGGTTAACTCAA